TATTGAGGGGTGATAGATATAGGACAGATGTCAGAGGTAGGTTCTTTACTCAGAGAGTAGTAAGGGCGTGGAATGCCCTGCCAGCAAAAGTAGTAGACTCGCCAACTTTAAGGGCATTTAAATGGTCATTGGATAAACAAATGGATGATAATGGAATAGTGTAGGCGAGATGGGCTTCAGATTGGTTTCACAGGTCGGCGCAACATCGAGGGCCGAAGGGCCTGTACTGCGCTGTAATGTTCTATGTTCTAAGACTGAGTGGAACAGGTTGCAGGGTTGTCTATTCTCCATTTAACCAACAGGCGTTCATAGTTTACACTCATATTCTAAAGAATTATTCTGGTACAACCAGCCAATCTGACACCAACCTTTAAGATTACATGAAAATTATTGTGCCCATAGACATTACAGCAGAAGTAAGCCATTTGGACCATCGAGTCTGCTCTGTCATTTAATGAGATCATGACCGATCTGATTATCCACTTTCCTGCCTTTTTCCCCATAACCCTAGATTCCCTTAATGATTAAAAATCTATCAATCTTGGCCTTGAATATATTTAATGGCCCAAGCTCAAGAGCCCCTGTTTTACAGCTTCGCTAGATTGACCCTTTTATTTCTGGTACGCCTGCTGCCGTTTCTGGCATGGCCCACCTCCCCCCACCACCGCACGCTTTATTAAATCCTGGCTTGATGGCAATGTCAGGTAAATGCTTTGCCACGAGGTTGCAGATTGTGTTCCTGCTGCTGATGGTCCACGAAGATGCCCAGTCGAGATGTTAAACCGGTCAGAGTCTGCCCCATTTATAGCAGAGAAGGTGCTGTTCAACCTGGTCGACAGTATTTCATCAGCTGAGGGGAGGATGTGACAATCAGCAGGAGCTTTCCTTTCTCATAATTGACCCAATGCCATGAGACTTCACCAGGTCCACAGTCAGTGTTGAAGCAACTTCCTCCCGACTGTATCCCACTGTGCCAGGACATATCCAGGGATGGAACTGAAGCGTGACTGTGTGTAAGATATGATTCTGTGAGCATGACTACGACAGGCTGTTGTTTTCCTAGTCTGTGAGACAACTCTCCAAATTTTGGCTAATGCTTATAAGGAGGATTTTGCAGGATCAAGAGGCCGTGGTTCCCATTGTTTTAGTCAGTGCCAAGTGGCTCATCTTGTTTCAGTCCCTTCTTTGTCGTGGTCCATACAATGGAGTGGCTTGTTCAGCTATTCTAGAGGACAGTTAAGTGCTGACCACAATGCTGAGAGACTGGTGGCTTCCTGAGGGACACCAGTGAACTAGGTAGGTTTTAACGATAATCAAAAATGGTTTCATCATTAGCCTTGTAATTCTACAGACATTTTTATTCATTTACTTTTATTTTTACACCATCTGATGCAGTGAGACTCAAACCCAGGTTCCCAGAACATGGGTCTCTAGAGTCTAGCAACAATATAACGGGGCCATCACCTTTCTTATTCAAATGTACTAATCCAAAACTCAGCCACCCATGTTTGAACTCGCAACATTTCTGTTCACCTATAGTCTGTGTTCACTCACTTACACTGGCTACCAATAACGCAAAGTCTTCATTTTAAAATTGTCACCTGTGTTCTCAAACCCCTCAAAAATCCAGGCACTCCTCATCTCCAATCTCCTCCAACCCTGCAGTACTCCAACTTATCTGCACTCATCTAATTCTGGCCTCTTGTCTATTTATAATTATAATTCCCCACTGTCAATGGCTGTGCCTTCAGCTGCTTAGGCCCCAGGCTCTGCAATTCCCTCCTTATACTCTCCACCTCTCTCAAGACTTTCTTTAAAACATTAGCGACAAATGCTGACCTTGTTCTTGGCCAGGCTGATTATCTTCCTGTGTGACTTTATGTCATACAGGTAAGAATACCCAAAAACTGACAGCATCTGAAAACCTGACATATTTGCAATCATCCATGCATCAATTTTAATCAAATAAATTTTCTTTTGAAGTAAAACTTACCTGGACAATTCAGCACTACATTTGCGCAGTGCGTCTTCGGGCTATTTACTGTCGTTGCCATGTCACAAACTGCTGTATTGCCTCACCAAGCAACCTTTGACCCCCACCTGTCCACTCTGTCCTAAACTAGCCAACATGAAATCTCAAAATATCCAAAATCCAGCATTAGCCCAGTCCTGAGGGTGCTGGATGAGTGGTAAATCCCTGTATTTTATTTTATAACAGTCCTGTGAAGCACGTTACGATGTTTCTTACACCAAAAGTGTTAAACAAATGCAATACAAATACAAATCCCTGCTCCCCACTTTCTCAAGCATTTTGCCTGCAAACCAAAATACAAAGAATTTCAAGATAAAATACATCAAGTGGTCTTCAGTCATGGGCTCAGTTGCCACAACTAAATATCAACAAAAGCTACCTTCCGCAAGATTGTGTAATAGAATAAAACAGATTTACAATAACCAGAAGGTAAGCTACTCACTTACAATTACCCAAAGAGACAAATTAATATTTCAAAAGATTTCCTGTGTTGGTGTGAGATAACTCTTAAGGTTTTAACAGAAGTGAGGTAACAATCCATGCTAAATTGAGAAAAATTGATCCAGAATCTCATTGTTCACCATGGAAGAAAAACTGAATTTTTTTTTTTTTTTTTTAAAACGCAGGGTGTGACTCCTTTCAGTTTGCCAGTGTATTCAATAATGCAGCCCAGCTGTTTGTCAAACACTCATATTTTACCACATTATCAAAATGGCTCAGTTCAAATATACAGTACATTACAAAACAGGCATCATTGATTTCATGGCTTTGCTTTTCAAGTGAGTTTGAACAACAGTGAAAATAAATTAACATCTTTTCTGATCAAAATTCTGCCCCATTGATGTGTTTCTTAAATCTTTAAACCAATTCCAATCACTGAAACATATGTAATCCCAAATTTTAACATAAAACAAATTTTAGTTCAAATCAGAGGTTAGCAGTAAAAATCTAGATCTGTAACTTATAATGATAAATGACTTTAACAATCATGGGGGCAGTTCAACTAAGTGAACCAGATAATGAATGATGGACTTTGTAAGTGTGCTGAACTGAAGTAAATCTCAGCCAGTTTGTTCACATGTATTCATGTGCGTCTTGACTTTAGCCTTTTGGCTTGTCTCTTGGCCTCCTCCTGGCTAGCACCATCTAAACCACCTTGACTGAGCGCCCGCACACCCTGTAAGCGATTTATCAACTGCGTCAGCAATGGGAACAGCTGCAGAGGAAAAGGGAAAAGCACATCCATTATACTTATTACAGTGAACTGCCTAGATAAATGGGAATGAAATTCAAATGATGAAATTATTACTTAAATCATACTTCAAATAAAGGCAAAGGTTATTAAGCAATGAGTTAATGCACAGCTGATTAATTATTAGCAGGAAAATCTAATGGCAAGCCAGGTTTCAATAGGAACTTAAGTACAATTCAGCCCCTTGAGTCCACTCCATCATTTAATATGAACATTACTGATTTGAACTCAGCCTCAACTCCATGTGTTTGCTCGAATTTGGAAAGGAATCGATTTATTAGGGATAGTAAGCATGCCTTTAAGCAGGGAAGGTCTTGTCTCGCAAATTTGATTCAATTTTTGAGAAACTGATGAAGATGACTGATGAGGGTACAGCAGTTGATGGCATCTCCATGGACTTTACCGAAACACCGAACAAGGTCCTTTATGGTAGGCTGGTCCAGAATTTGCTAAGTTGGATACAAAATAGGCTTGATCACAGGAGACAAAGGGCAGCTGTGGAGGGGTGTTTTTCTGACTGGAGGTCTATCACCACTGGTGTTCTGCAAGGATCAGTGCTGGGACCCCTGCTGTTTGTTATATACATGTAGTATAATATATATAAATGATTTGGATGAAAATGTAGGTGGTCTAATTACTAAGTTTGCAGACAACACGAAATTTGGTGGAGCTACGGATAATAAGGTAGGTTATCAAAGGATACAGCAGGATGTAGATCAGTTGGAAAGTTTAGTTTGCGATTATGTTCAGCATGGTCTAGTTGGAGCGTGTCGTATGACTCTGTAACTCTACAATATAGGTCAGTTGGAAAGTTGAGCAGAGAAGTGGCAGATAAAGTTTAATCCAGAGAAGTGTGAGGTGACGCATTTGGGAGGTCAAATTCAACAGGAAAGTCCACAGTAAATGGCAGGATCCTTCGCAGCATTAATATATACAGAGGGATTGGGGTCCAAGTGAATAGCTCCCTGAAAGAGGCAACACAAATGGACAAAGTGGTAAAGGAGGAGTACGGCATGCTTGGCAGCATCAGAGGAGCAGGAAAGTTGACATTTCAGTTGCAGGGAAATGTGTTGGGGTTAATGGGAAGTGTGGAGCAGATGAGGGAATCGTGGAGTGAGCGGTCCCTATGAAAGGCAGATAGGGGTGGGGAGGGAGAGTTCCATCCCGCACATCCCATATGTCTTCCTATTTCAAGAACCACAGCATCCCCCCTCCGGTGATCAAAAATGCCCTTAACCACATCTCTTGCGTTTCCCACACTTCTGCCCTCAAAATCCCTCTCCCCAACAAAAATAAAGACAGAATCCCTCTGGTCCTCATATATCACCCCACCAACCCCCGTATCCAATGTATCGTTCTCCGCCACTTCCGCCACCTATAATCCGACCCAATGACCAAAGAGATATTTCCCTCCAAATCCCCATCTGCCTTTCATAGGGACCGCTCTCTCCGCAACTCCCTTGTCAGCTCCACACTCCCCACTAACCCCACCGCCCCCAGCACCTTTCCCTACAACTGCAGGAAGTGCTACACCTGCCCCTACACCTCCCCCCTCACTTCCATTTAAGGCACCAAACAAACTTTCCACATCCGACAGGGGTTCACCTGTATGCCCTCCAACCTGGTCTACTGTATTGGTTGCTCCCAATGTGGCCTCCTCTACATCTGTGAGACCAAGTGTAGACTCAGGGACCGTTTCATGGAGCATCTGAGCTCTGTACGCGACAAACAACACCGCCTTCTGGTCGCCAACCATTTTAACTCCCCCTCCCACTCCCTGGGTGACATGTTCATCCTGGGTCTCCTCCAGTGTCACAATGACACCGCCCGCAAACTGGAGGAGCAGCACCTCATATTCCGCCTCAGGAGCCTACAGCCCGATGGTCTAAACGTGGAATTCACCAGCTTTAAAATCTCCCCACCCACGGTCTCATCCCACATCCAACCCTCCCTCTCAACCCGATGCAACCTGTCCATCTTCTTTCCCACCTATCCACCCCACCCTTCCCACCGACCAATCCCCACTATGCCCACCTATCACCATCCCACCTACCTTTCCCCAGCCCCACCCATCCTCCCTCCCTGCCTCCTTGACCTGACACAGCCTGTCCGTCTTCTCTCCCACTTATCCGCCCCACCCTTCCCACTGACCAATCCCCAACACTCCCTACCTGCATCCATCTATCACCATCCCACCTACCTAGCCCCAGCCCCACCCCGCTATTTATTTCCCAGCTCCCTTCCCCCGCCCCAGTTCTGAAGAAGGTTCCCAACCTGAAACATCAACTTTCCTGCTCCTCTGATGCTCCCTGACCTGCTGTGTTCCTCCAGCTCCACACCGTATGAGCTGTATAAAACTTTAATTAGGCCACATCTGGAGTACTGTGTGCATTGAAGGATGTGGAGGTTTTTGAGAAGGTGCAAAAGAAGTTTACCTGGATTACCATGTATTAGCTGTAAGGAGCAGTTGAACAAACTTGGATTGTTTTCATTAAAGCAGTGGAAGCTGAGAGGTGACCTGGTAGAAGTATATAAAATAATGAGAGGCACGGACAGGGTGGATTGTTGGAGTCTCTCTCCCAGGGTGAAAATGTCAAATACTAGGAGAGGGTGAAAGTCTAAAGGATAGGTGCGATGAAATTTTTTTAGGCAGAGGATGGTAGGTGCTTGAAACGTGCTGCCGGGGGTGGGGGGCGGAGAAGCAGATACGAAAGCAAATATTTAACAGGCATTTACACAGGCATGTGAACTGATGGGGAATACAGATTGTGTGCAAGTAGATGAGATTAGTTTAGAATGACATCATGGTCGGCAGAGAGATAGTGTGCTGAAGGGCCTGTTCCTGTGCTGTGCTGTTCTACGTTATTTACTACCCATTACTTCAACCCATACTGTCTATCTTCTTCTTAAATTTACACAATGTTCCCGTACTCCATTGCACTTGGGGTAGTGGACTCCACAAAATAATGCAGAGGAAAGATCTTGGAGATTGCTTACATGTGACAAAATTATGTTTCTGCAAAAAAATCATTACAGGAATTCACTGCAGTGACTATAGCAATACTAACTAACAGAATAATCCAAAAATAGTGAGTAAATGAATTAAAATACCATCAATTTATTTTTGTGTAACCTAAATATTCATCAAACTATGGAGAAGGGTTAAAAAAAAACTCACTGAAACAAAACAGCATAATGTACTACATAAATTTACGACTGCACATGACACAGTAGATAAGAGCTCCACGGTTTGCCAGGGAAATTAATGCCATGTGAAATTAGACTGCACAAATGGCTTTTTTAAGATCAAATGTGGCACAAATGAAATACATCCACTGTGTGCAAGATAAGATTACAACAAAATCTCCTTTTCTGCCACAAATCTGCAATAATGAAACATTTTAAAGCCCCATCACTTCACAATCCTAAACATACTTTCTCAATCCCTGTACAAAAAATGTACAGAACTATCATTAAGGGTTTATAAGTAGCTCATCAAGCCAAGCAACTGTATTTAATTAACAAATCCCAGATCTTTGTGCTAATAGCATTATTCGGGAATAGCACAACACTTCATTTGTTTTTCTGGGATTTTTTTTGAAGATGGTTGTCCGATATTGATAGAGAAATAAATAGGCCACAATTCCAATGAAGGTTATTAATGCAGTCACTGCACTTTGAACGATTCCCACTGAAAACAAAATCCTTGCTAAATATATTCTTAATCCTACCCTGTCAATGGAATTCACAAAGGGAAAGGGAAAGTCCCATAAATCAATGTTAATGAAGACACAAATATTGATTGATTTGATTTATTATTGTCACATGTACCTAGGTGCAGCAGAAAGTTTTGTTTTGGTTGTAGTACAGGCAGATCATACCACACAAAGTCCATTAGGGTAATAGAACAGAGCGAGGAATACAATGTTACAGCTGCAGAGAAGGTGCACAAAGAGCGAGATAAACATTAAATTTAAAATTTGAGAGGTCCGTTCAGAAGTCTACTAACAGCGGGGAAGTTGTTGTTCTTTTCACGGGTAGGTTATACTGGCTTCAAAGCAGTAGGTGCTAGAGAAACTCAGCAGATCTGGCAGCATCTCCCCACTCTCTCTTCACAGATACTGCCAGAGCTGCTTCAGATCTCTAGCAATGGCATTACTTTTTTTTATTATACCATATACAGGCTGTTCTATTATTTCTCCAAATCTCTGTCAAAATATAACTTTCCAATTTTCTAGAAATCTGACATAATCCAAACAAAGCAGACATTCACTTCATCAATAAGACCTAGGTGAAAATTAGTTCAAATATATTTGCCATTTTTGATTTGAAACAGTCGGTGGCAGAAAGTCCAAATGTAACGTAATATCATTGTGAAAAATAATATATAATCCATTACGTTAGCTCCTTGCATTATTATATCTCTGCCTTCTGTGCAGAATCAACTCCCACAGACTCTTTTTGGAATAATTCAAGTGAATGACTGAATTAACAATCACACCAACTTGGGATTTTTTTTTCCATGTCCTCCCACCCCGCACTCATGGGAAAAAAATAAGGAGAATCTGACATTTGATGACAACATTAAAATACTTATTTTGTGACCCAAGCTTTAGTCTAATAAGCTCCAGCTGTAGTTAACAGAAATACTCCCAACTGATTCTAATTTGTCAACCTACAGTGAAAAGCGTTTGTGTCCTAATATTCTGGACTAGTTTGGACAATTCATATTCAATTTGATTATTTTATGCATCATAGCTTGCAATTCTATTTGCATCATTTGCCATGAATGGTTCATTTAACAATCTTGTGTACAAATGTTACTAATTTTCAGAAGTAGGCTTTTTAAAACAAAAAACATTACTCTCGTCTTGAAAATACAGAATAAAACGGCCATATGCTGTCCCCAGCCACACAGAGCCCCAATATAATTTGAAAAGAAACTTTACCTTGTCATGATTGTAACCAGCCAGAAGCAGGAGCAGAGTAAGAGGCAAGGCAATATATGATCCCTGGGCAACATCCTGCTCAGGAAGCTTTCTCTGCAAGAAGATGATGTAACACAGTGAGACTGGGCCCCTTCCTTTTTCTTTAGCGGAGTCAGAAAGTTATACAGCACACAAACAGACCATTCGATCTAATTCGTCCACGCTGACCAGATATCCTAAATTAATCTAGTTTCAACATTTGCCAACATATGCCTCTAAACCCTTCCTATTCATATATCCATCCAGATGCCTTTTAAATAATGCATCTGTACCAGCCTCCACCACTTCCTCTGGCAGTGCATTCCATACACACACCACCTTCTGTGTGGAAAAAGTTGCCCTTCGGGTCCCTTTCAAATCTTTTCCCTCTCACCTCAAACCTATGCCCTCTAGTTTTGGACTCCCCTACCCTGGGAAAAAGACTATTCACCCTATCCACGCCCCTCATGATTTTGTAAACCTCTATAAGGTCAACCCTCAGTTTCAGACACTCCAGGGAAAATAGTGCCAACCTATTCAGCCTCTCCCGATAGCTCAAAGCCTCCAAACCCAGCAACATCCTTGTAAATCTTTTCTGAACCCTTTCAAGGGTAACAACATCTTTCCTACAGCAGGGAGACCAGAATTGCATGCAGTATTCCAAAAAGTGGCCTAACCAATATCCTGTACAGCCGCAACATGACCTCCCAACTCCTGTACTCAATGCACTGACCAATAAAGGCAAGCGTACCAAATACTGCCCTCACTATCCTGTCTACCTGTGACTCCACTTTGAAAGAACAATGCACCTGCACCCCAAGATCTCTTTGTTCAGCAACACTTCTCAGGCCCCTACCATTAACCATATAAGTCCAGCCCTGGTTTGCCTTACCAAAATGAAACACCTCACATTTATCCAAATTAAATTCCATCTGCCACTCCTCAGCCCATCTGATCAAGGTCCTGTTGTGCTCCGAGATAACTTTCTTCCCTGTTCACTACACCACCAACTTTGGTGTCATCTGCAAACTCACTAACCATACCTCCTATGTTCACATCCAAATCATTTGTATAAATGACAAAAAGCAATGGACCCAGCACCGATTCTTGTGGCACATCTCTGGTCACAAGCCTCCAGTTCGAAAAGTAATGCCCTACCACCACCCTCTGTCTGCTACCTTCAAGGCAATTTTGTATTCAATTGGCTAGCTCCACCAGATCTAACCTTGTTAACCAGTCTACCATGCAGAACCTTGTTGAATGCCTTGAAGTCCATATAGATAATCACTGCCTTCATCAACCCTTTCTGTCAGCTCTTCAAAAAAAAACTCAATCAATTATTCTTTGATGACACGTGGACGTTGCTGACAAGACCAGCATTTGTTGTCCAATACTAACTGTTCCTGAACTGTGCGGTTCCCTCAGCCATTTCCAGAAGACATCGAGCACATTGTTGTGAATCTGGAGTCACATGTAGGTCAGACCAGGTAAGGGCAACAGATTTCCTAAGGACTCGACTGAACCAGAAGGGATTACAACAATCATCAATGGCTATATGGTCAACATCAGACTTGCTTTTTAATTCCAGAATTTTATTGAATTCAAATTTCCCCACCTATCGTGATGCAATCTGAACCCATGTCCCTAAAACATTTGCCTGGGCCTCTGGATTACTAGCCTACCGACATTATCATTATGCCTCCTGTCTATAATGCAATATAAAGACAAGATTGGGATAAGATTGCCCCAAATTATTACTTATTTTATTGATGATAGAAATTCTTAATGGAGGGGGGACAACATAGTCTAGAGATGTACAGCACGGAAACAGACCCTTCAGCCCAACTCATCCATGCCAACCAGATATCCTAAATTATTCTAGTCCCATTTGCCAGCATTTAGCCCATATCCCTCTAAACCGTTCCTATTCCCCTACCCATCCAGATGCCTATTAAATGTTGTAATTGTACCGGCCTTCACCATTTCCTCTGGCAGCTCATTCCATACACGCACCACCCTCTGCGTGAAAAAGTTGCCCCTCAGGTCCCTTTTAAATCTTTCTCCTCACATCTTAAACCTATGTCCTCTAGTTTCAAATAAAATTACACAGAGCTGGTTATAAGCCTGTGATCCTCAAAGACATTTTTGCTCATGTATTGATGTGAGATTTAGCTGCACACCATAAAACAGGCATGGAACTACCAACTAAAGAAAAGTGACTCTCATAATCTTTCCCCTACATGTACACCAAAAGTAGCAGCTTTAAGAATTGCTCAGAGACTTGCCCAAGTGGGATAATGGAAGTATAGTTACATAGATGTCATTATAAATCAAAAATCCATTTGTGTAATATGCAGTGAAACTGATTTACTTTGACTGTCATAAACTCATATTAAAGCGCAATGCCTTCACAGAATTTCAGTAATTCCCACAGAAATTCAGCATTTTTCCCTCAGTGACACAATTACTTAGTCAGGTCACCACTGCAATGGTGGAAAATGTCTCCAGAACTATTCTCATTGCTTCCAAACCGAATCAGACTTAACAGCCCATCAAAAAGAAAAACTCCAAAGTTTAACAACTAAATCATAGCTGCACTCCCATCAATTATTCCCTAAAATGGAACGTGCACTGGCAATAATCTACAAATTTTGACAATGGTTATAAAAACAAGTTATAATCATAGCTAAAGATGACACTTCATGGCTGTTTACGGGCTTCAACCTAACATAAATCCAGTTTGCTGATTTTTTTTAAAAATCTGTTCCCAGGATAGGGGTATTGCTGGCAATTGTTGCCCTGCAATAGTACCTTCACAAGATCCACCAACCCCAAAATACTTTTCCCCCACCACTGATTCCATCTCCCTCTCTAGTCACTGACTCAAGCTGTATTGTACACAAACTTAGCATCCCATCTGAGACAAAACCAGAAACTGCTGGATAAACTCAGCAGGTCTGGCAGCATCTGTGGAGAGAAAGCAGAGTTAACACTTCGAGTCCACTGGCCCTGACCTGGGTCTGAGATTCCAACTCCAAATCATTTCCATTGCCACAACTATCCTTTCTCACTTCTTAAATACTATTTTCTCTGCTTGTCCCTCAACCGCTCAAACACTCAAATCCTGGATTTGCTTACCTCCAACGCTGTCCAGCTGGTCGATCATCCTCCCTCCACAACCCTAAACTAGCAATTCCTTTGATGCCAAAATCATCAAATTTTCTGTTCAACCATTACTGCTGCTGATCAACATTAATTCCTGTCTCCTAAACGCTTCCATTTTGAAAACAGTTGCTTGAAATTGGTTTGTATTTTCTCAATTGTAGAAGATTAATTTGAAATGTAGATAAGACAAATGATAACAATGCCATACACAGACTGTAAGACAAATGTGAGGGCGATTTGAAATTGCAGAGCAAAAAGCACTCTTACAAACTAACATTCAAATAAGCAAATGTCAATATTCCAGCCGGTGGATGAGAATTGGCAAACTGCAGAGATCCCCAAATAGAAACCGGAAGAACTGTGGATACTGGAAATCAGAAAATAATCAGAAATTGCTGAAAAAGCTCAGCAGGTCTGGCAGTATCTGTAGGGAGAAATCAGAGTTACTTCCAATTTCTCTCCACACATGCTGCCAGACCTGCTGAGCTTTTCCAGCAATTTCTGTTTTTATTTGCAGAGATGTCTTCTGGATGGCAGCAAAAGAGGGATTGACTTTGACATAGCTGGATGATGCATGTTACACAGTGGTTGCAGACAAGCTACAGTGCTTATGTGAGGACAATTCAGGAAAGGCAAGTGTTATACTGTGACCCAATCCCCTAGCAGGAGCAACCACTGAAGATTAAGAGACAATTTGATCGAAGTGTTTAAAACTCCAAAAGGATTTTGGTAGCTTTTCAGAACCCACCTCATTTTGTCTCGTGCAAATCGAAAACAAGGGGACACAATTTCAAAATTTGAGCTAGACCATTCAGGAGGGAAATCAATAAGCACCTTTTCACAAATTGTTGTAAAACTTAGGAACTCACTCCCCTACAATAAAAATGGATGGGAAGGCATAGTTGGAGCTTTCAGCAAAAGTGACAAGGGATATTGACCAAAGGCAGTTAAATGGAGTTGAGATGGAGGAGTAAAATAATTTGGGAGCAAGTCTGATTGGTCTATTTCTGCACATGGTGACCCTCATGCTCAAGCCCCTCACCTCCCCATCTTTGCAACTCTCGGAGAAGTTTGTGCTCCTTCAACTCTGGCCTCTTGTCCATTCCATTTTTACTTCATCCCAACATTTAGCCCTTAAGGTCTGTAATTCCCTTCCTAAACCTCCCTCTCGCTCTCCTTCAGGACATTCCTTAAAACCCACCAAGGTTTAGTCATATATTCCAACAATTTCTTTTGGTTCAGTGTCAGTGTGTGCCTTATGACCTTGTGAAGGATTTTGGGATGTTTTACTATGATCAAGGAGTTAAATGAATACAAGCTGTTGCTGAAGGTGGTGTTGGATCTTCTTTTCAAACAATCTAATACAATGGAGTGGTTTCCTCAGTCAGCTCAAGAGGGTAGCTAAGAGTCAACTATGCAATAACTTAGAGCTGCAGTCACATGTACAGCTGACTAGAAAGCTGATTAATCTTTCTCTGCAAGACATTAGTGAACTACATGTTTTTTACAACAATCCTGCAGCTTCCTGGAAACTAATTTAAATCAGAAACACTGCTGAATTGAGAATCAAAGTGGGTCAGGCAGAATGAGTAAAGGGATAATCGGGACTTGGTGCACATTTGAGGATATAGACAGTAACATTGTAAATGAGCTAAAATTTATGGAGGATGGAAAGCGGGAAACTGGCCGGGACACGACTGGAATAGTTTACTCATTGGTCTCTTCAAGTCTTGGAAATAGGATTAATCTTGGAGTTTCCTGGACTTAAACTTCAGTATGTACAAACTCACAGCTTTACCACAGTCAACAGTCACTTTGTTACACTGCTACTTTTGTGGTGGCACCATCCAGAACTTCTTTCAATCATCAAGAAGAAAGTAGCAGCATAAAGCCATCACAAAACTGTTCAAAACTACTGTAGTGAGACTAACATTTATCGTTCAATACAATAACTGAATCATTTGCAGGATGCCCTATTGACAAGAAATCAGATTCTGCTAAAAAAGCACCACTTACTGGGTTTAGTAAAATTCAATGCAGTGTGTAAAAGTTAATTAGGTGACAGCAGATTCAATTAAAATAAAACAGGACAATTTAGGCTTTACAGTCTCCGAAACAGATTTCAGTTTTAAGTTTAAAAGACTGAAGAAATACAATGTACACCTGGTTAAAGATCACAGCTCAGTAATTGTTGCAATAGTTTGGATTCAATTAATTTTATCCACAGAGTGCAATGATTCAAAGTAACAGATAAACAAGTATAATCATCTGTCAATGTTAACTCAAAAGCTTTGCAGCAAATTTCAACAATGAATTGCCATGCATGTTACCATTAAATATTAAATAATATTGGTTAGATAGAGTCCAGGCAAAGGTTTTTCCACTAGAGTTTTATTCTATCTCACACATCACCAACTCCAACCACACGGATTACCTGCTCGTAACCCTGCCATACCACACAACAATAGAACTATAGAACCCCTACAGTGTGGAAGCCATTTGGCCCATCAAGCCCACTCGGACCCTCTGAGGCATCCTGACCAGATTCACCAGTCCCCCTCCCCTATCCCTGTAACGCTGAATTTAACATTGCTAATCCACCTAGCCTATACATCGCTGGACACTATGGACAATTCAGCATAGTCAATCTACTTAACCCACACATCTTTGGACTGTGGGAGGAAACCCAAACAGACACGGGAAGAATGTGCAAACTCCACATAGACAGTTGCCCGAAGGTAGAATCAAACCTGGGTCCTGGGGCGCTGTGAGTAACGACTGAGCCACTGTGCCACCCCTGGCATCCTACTAGATAATTTGATACAATACCCTACTGGATAACAGCACCCTACTATAATTCAATACAATACCCTATTGGATAACAACACCCTACCATAATTCAATACAATACCAGATAACAACAGGGAAACAAGTTTATTCACATGTTTTTAAAAACAGTTATCCTTTAGCATTGACTTACCGAAGGGGTGAACATAAGGGTAATGTGTTTATGGTAACCAGTTGCACTAAAGGATATTTGAGGCAAGATGTACTCATACAGTGACTTGGGCAATGTTGACTCCAAGGCCACGACATAGTTCTGCAACACATAAGCAATAATTTCATTCCTAGACAACGTTGGACAGAAAAACTTTTGAGACCAAAAAAAAAGTTTGCATTCATTTACACAATTTAGCTGAACGCTGTTCATTCTACAGAAAGTAAACTTACCTCGCCATCTCTTAACAACGGCGGGAAATGGAAAAAAAGGGACTGTCCCAGCGACACTGTTTGTATTGGGTTATCCAGGTTTTCACTTTTATACAGCACCACCTAAATAAATTAGAAATATACATTATAGTCCATGTTAAAAAAGATTAGATATCAAATATTTGCATTATTTACAATACCCAAGAGCAACTAGGAATGGACAGTAAGTGCTGATCCAGCCAGCAATGCCCACATCATATGAATGAACCAAAAAAAAAATCATGCTAATAGATACTTTAGGTTATTAAGTTCGACAAACTGTGACTTATCAAATGTTAGGAATTTAAGGTCAGTGCAACAGATGTGCAATACAGAATGCCATTGGAAATTTCACTCCATACCCACACAGTTCACCCTCTGTCATCTACCATTGTAGATCATAGACCATGGGACAGATCATAAGACCATAATGCACAGAGTCATAGAGCACAGAAACTGATCCTCCAGTCCAACTCATCCATGCCGACCAAGGTCCCCAAACTAAAACTGGAATCCCTCTAAATGAATACCTCTTAACCTTTCCTATTCATGTATCTGTCCAAATGTCTTTTAAATGTTGTAACTGTACTTACATCTACGATTTCCTCTAGCAGTTCATTCCACATATGAACTACCCTCTCTGTGAAAAACTTGCCTCTCAGGACCCTTTTAAATCTTTCTCCTCTCACCTTAAAAATATGCCCTCTAGTTTTGAATTCCCTTACCCTATTCCTGTATTCATCTTACCCACATCCCTCATGACTTTATATACCTCTATAAGGTCACCCCTCAGCCTCCTATGCTCCAGTGAAAAACATCCCAGACTATCCAGCCTCTCATTTATAACGCAAACCCTCCATTCCCGATAACATCCTTGTAAATCTTTTCCGCACCCTCCCCATGAGTCTGCTCCATCATTAAATCATGATTGATATGTTTCTCAACCCCAGTCTCCTACCTTCTCCTTTGATCCCCTTACTACCCAAGGACCTGTCTATCTCTGTTTTAAATACACTCAAATGACTTGATCTCCATAACCTTCTGCAGCAATCAGTTCCACAGATTCCACCCTCTGGCTGAAGAAATTCCTCCCCATTTCAGTTTTAAGCAGTTGTCCCTTCACTCTGAGGCTGTGCCCTCAGGTCCTAGTCTCTCCTACTGGTTGAAACATCTTCTCAACATCCACTCCATCCAGGCCTCTCAGTATTCTGTAAGTTTCAATGACATTCCCCCTCATCCTTCTAAACTCCATCAAGTTCAGACCCAGAGTTCTCAACCGCTCCTCATAATGACAAGCCCTTCATCCCCGGTGTCATTCTTGCAAACCTCCTCTGGATCCCTCATCCTGGAAAGTGAGGACAAAAAACTAGAAAACAGCAATCACAAGCTCTCTTTATCCTGACTCTAAGAAACTAAAAAAAAGATTCCTTTGATGAAGAGATAAGATCAGGTTGTTTCACAAGCTGAGTTGAATCCTATACAGAAAGGAAGACTTGCCCTGGCCTATGAGGAGACGTGAGGCAGTGTCTCCAGGTGAACTCGCTCTTCAGAGGAACAGCACAGACATGATGTGCCAAAAGGCCTCCTCCTGTGCCGTAAATGGGTCAAGTTGCCACAGTTTTACCAGACCATAGGGCTGTTCTCTCGTTAGAGGGAGATGGCTGGTGGTGGTTTAACCTGAGGGTCACCATGCCTCAGGCAAGGCGAGAGTTGGAGAAGGAGAGACCTTCACGGTAACATCAGCCAGTGTGGGAATTGAGCCCACATTGTTGGTGCTATTCTGCATCACAAACCAGCCATCCAGACACTGCGCTAACTAACCCCTCACATTCTATGATTGCGGACTGGGGGGTATCAGAAGGAAATGCAGCAGTAAACACTTAAGCAAAGAAAGCAATCTTACATACCCGTAAAGTAGAAAGGTGTTCAGGTGAGGTGATAACATTGCCACTTAAATCAAATTGATTAATCTGTCGGAATGCTAGAATATTCACACCATCAATATCACTGCTGTCAACCTGAACAAAGGAAATACAGTGGAAATAGATCAGCTTTTTCAACTGCAGTATGATTAACAAAAAAAACTTTATCCACAAAAGCACATAAAGGCAATATTTATTCTGAAAGTAATTTCCTGTGGAATATTTATTTTATTAATGATAGTAATTAGACTGGCATCATTATACATTTTTAAAAAAGCATGTTGAACAGATTTATAAATCTAAATTTTACGTCTAATCAGGGCAAGATAATGCGGATACCAAAAATCTGAAACAAACACAAAGTGCTGGAGAAATTCAGCAGATCTGTGAAGAAAGAAACAGAGTTAACATTTCATGTCCAGTATGACTCTTCTTCAGAACTGCATTATACTGGAACCAAAACATCGACTATTTCTCTCTCCACAGATGCTACCAGACCTATAGATTTTTATAACTACCTATCCAGGATCTTTAGATTTTGGTTAGGTTACAAGCTGTGCCAATCCTTAGCCAAGTCCACAAAGGGTAGGAGGTGACAAAATTGAGAAATTGCACTGATCCACAGCAATAATGTAGAGATTGGAGGGCTACTCCTGGCTCCACATGAAGGAGTGTTTCAAGAAGAACCTAACACGAAAGTTTCTTCAGAAGCATCCAGCGATCCCAACAGAACCACTGGTTATACAGCTGCAGCATGTGTGTTAATTTCAGGCGAGCAGCAGGGTTGCCTGAATACAACTAATGCAAGTTTTAGTGGAGCTTGCCTTGAAACCAGATTCTAACATTTCACTTTAGGTCATTCCAAGTTTAGATGAACAATATAGAATCATAGAATCCCTAGAGTGCGGAAAGAGGCCACTTAGCCCATTGAGTCTGCACCCACCCTCCAAAGAGCATCCTATCCAGAACCCCCAAGCTATCCCTGTAACTGTGCGTCTCCCATGGCTAATCCACCTAGCCCGCACATTCATGGACACAATGGGGAAATTTAGCGTGGTCAATCCACCTAACCTAAATTAAACAAGGACAGAAGTTGCTGGAAAAATTCAACAGGTCTGGTAGCATCTGTGGGTAGAAAGAAGAGTTAATATTTTAGATTCAGTTCTGAAGTGAAGAATTGAAGAAGGTTCACTGGATCCAAAACATGAATTCTGATTTCTCTCCACAGTTGCTGCCAAACCTGCTGAGTCTTTCCAGCAATTTCTGTTTTTGTTTCTGATTTCCAGCATCTGCAGTTCTTTCAGTTTGTTTGTTTAGAAGGGAGGAAACCGGGGCACCCGGAGGAAACCCACACAGACACGGGGAGAACATGCAAACTCCACACAGACAGTCGCCCGAGGCTGGAACTGAACCTGGGTCCCTGGTGCTGTGAGGCAGTAATGCTAACCACTAAGCCACCACTCTCTGCATCCCGCCCAACACTGTTTGTGAGCAACAGCACGGCTACAAATAGTCAGCTTGTGAGTTAATAAGTGATATCAGCAGCAGACTGGGGAACAGGAACAAGTGACATTGCTACAGAAGTAAGAACCTGGTGCCAAATGTTGTCATCAGCAGACATTTCTTTTTGAAAATGCAGCATATTTCGTGATTAATGTTGCTTTTCAGTGGGAAGGTAGGTAAAAGTGCAGGCTATTCATTAGTCACCTGTCATATATATATATGGGCAATACAAAGGCTGATAATAGCAGCTTATCCCCTCAGGGAAAGTGGAAATGGGAGTACAGGCAATCATAGTCACTGGACTGGAGCTTGGCTGTTGGTGTCCTTGTAGCCAACGGCACAATTTCTTAATTGGTTCCCTAGTAGGATAGCGCTCATGGACAGTAAGACAGCTTTCACAGTCACTGCCAGGGTACTGTGACAGGACCTGCAGATAACTTTGGTACTACAATGGTAGAGGTAACGCCCCAATCTGATACCTGAGAATTCCTGTGACAAGCTTTGCAATCTTGTATGACAGGACTATGTTTCATAAATAATCCCTCTCCATCAATTTATTCAGGTCTGTGGTGCAGGACACAACAGAGTGAACACAGATACGTCCCCAAGCTCCAAAGCCTTCATAATAAGGATTTTCTTTTAATATTCTCTCATTTGTGTCCAAAGTTGCAATTAATCAGCATTTTGGGGAATTAATATTTGCAATTCTTTTAGGCTTCAGATGATTACACATTATATGCACTGTTGTTTTAGCGTTCTTTAAAAGATTAATTGACAAAACAAGACCTGAAATTTGAGAGAGAAGGAAATGGCTTAAAGGTTTATAAAACTTCAGGCCCAGTCCAAATATACAATTCAATCCCATCCTAAAAAGATGACATGTTACATTTAAGTAGTTCATAAACCTTTAACCCATTTTGTCCGGAACCATTATAAAGGGATCATGTATAACAGCAGGAATACATGTAGCATTACAGATCTCTGCTCAATTCTCTGGGTTCCATTGATCCTTTTCACTCAATCACTCAGCATGAAACCAGTCGTAGAACTTCAAAAATGCAGCTGAAGCATTAAACATAAACACAAGAAATTCTATGCTTCACTAACCTCAACAGCACGATACCGCGGTAGTGCTCTTTCTATGTGGTCATTGCCTTCAACTTTCAGCTGAATGTGGTACACACAACTGGGCTACAGAGAAAGACAACAAAATATTCTATCGTTCAATAGTCTTTTAAAAAAGTTTCAAAACCAGGCATTAGAAACATACATTTTAACATCACTTACTAATTTAATTGATAATTCACTTAAGAAATTTTAAAATGCTAAAGATGCAGGGACATTGCCACAATGGATTTAAGCTCCAGCCTGCGTGATTTATATGCAACTGATTATAATTACATTTTTATTTATTTTACATCATTTATCCTTAAGTTTGGGTTCTTGAATCTGAATGAGTGGCATTGGGTTTTGTGTGTGTCTGAAGGGGGTTAATGATTAACTGGAGAGTATTTCTGTAGCCATGGTATTTTTCTTAAAAACACATTGAGAGAGAAAGGCTTCCTGGACCTCAATGGGATTTTGCTACATTAGGAGAATTTTATGAACAAACAAGGTAAACTGTTGTGTATTAGGCTGCAGTTGGAAGGTCAGGGACTGATCATTTCCCTTTGATTAGGGGAAGCACCTATAGCTTAAAAATATTGAGGCTTTTTTTTTCAGTTTGAGTAGTTCTGTAGGGTTCTACAGATGTAACTGGATGCGTAAAGCAGTTTTTCCTGAGAAAGGGAGAAAATAGTTTAGAATTGTCAAAAATAGGTTACCTTAATGTAAGAAGTTTAATTTAAAAGTTCCAGAGCAGAAGTCATACAGTAATAGCACACAGAAACAGACCCTTCGGTCCAATCAGTCCATGCTGAATATAACCCCAAACTAAACTAGTCCCACCTGCCTGCTCTCAGCCTATATTCCTCCAGACCTTCTTCCTATTCATGTACTTATCCAAATGTCTTTTAAATGCTGTAATTGTGCCCACATCCAGCGCTTCCCCAGGAAGTTCATTCCACATGCGAACTATCCACTGTGTAAAAAATTTGCTCCAATGTCTTTTTTAAAATCTTTCTCCTCTCACCTTAAAAATGTGCCCCCTAGTCTTGAAATCCCCCACCCTAGGGAAAAGACACCTGCCATTAACATTATCTGTACCCCTCATGATTTTATATGCCTGGAAGATTATTTGAAGCTGAGAACATTTAAGCTAAGTTATAATGATGAATCATGAAAGAGGTTATCAGATTTTTGTGACTGGGAATTAAAGCTACAGCTAAATCAGAGAAGATCATTTTCTCTGGTGAATGAGTACTGCAGTGGGATGCTGTTGGGAACAATGGAATTGCATTTTTACTGTGTGTCTGAATCTTTACATGTGTGTTATACATAAATATAGTTTGGTTTCTTCTATTATTTATCTTTTTTGCATAATAAACTTCTGTTTGATTTGTTAAAACCAAATCTGCAGCATGGCATGTTAACATTTCAGTGAGAAAACTTTTTTAATTTCAAAAAAAATCTATCAAACTAGATTATCAGTCTGGTATCCAACATGTCCGGCAGTAACATCAGCTGGTATCACAATGTCAATAACAATGAGAATTTGGAAGCAGGCACAGTCATCATGTACAACAGCGTCTCTACAAAGTAATGCATCTAAAGGTTCATTTTGCCATGAAGATCCTGTGATTCTACTTGACTATTTTTCTAATTCTTTCATGCTAACCACATATGTTTAGCAAGTCTTAGCAGGGAGATAAGAACACTTATGAGGCAAAGTTATGATTCTGAAAAGAATTCAACTGAACATTTTCATATTTTGAAGACAATTTTTGAAGAAATGCATAAGTTGAACTTTTGATTTGCTTATTACTCTTCTGTGTGCTGACATCCATGTAAACTTCGCTATTAGATTTAGCTTTACTGCTTGCCTGTTATCATCTTTTGAAAGGAACAGATGTACAGTAGTGAGACAAAGTAACTTGATTAAAAATGTATTTATTAATTCTCTGCAGATTTTAAGTTTTGAATCATAAATGTCACAGGTTTGTTTCTGGAAATGACTGACAAAACACTATAGTAACCTGAAACCTGAAATTAAAAAAAATTGCTGGAAATGAAGCAGGTTAAGAAAAATATCTGGAAAAAAGTTAAACATCTAATGTGCAAATCTCAAGACCATTTTTTATTTAAGAACTGGAAGAAACTAGCAGTTAACAACTTATTAGCAAGAAGAAAATCTTTTCTGCTTTTCCTTTCTCCACGAACGTTACCTGACCTGTTGTGTTTTTTCAGCATTTTGCGTTTTTAGTTCTTATAGTAACGCCAATTGGCTGTTAATTCAATAAAAAGAGGTAAGGACCCAAACACTAGAGTCCTTCCCAATAGGTCAACATCGTAGGGGTCCATGTGATCATGTCAAGTTCCACAGCAGCTCCCCACACAAAGAACATTCAGAAAGCAGTGATTTACATTACTGTGTTAATTTTGACACACACTAATTTATCATCGTTTCAACACACTATCAAATTAGGCAATACATACTACAAGTGCATGAGAAAGTGCTCTTACATAAATATTTTCATCATTAAGTAAACTCAAGAGTTAATTGTTAACTCTTACCAGTAGACCACGGAGACGAAATTTTCCATCTTCATCAGTCACTGTATCCTCTCCATAAATGCTACAATCATTCTGGCCAACAGCTTCCACGGCAACTCCTTGTTCAGGCTCCCCATTTAAAGAGGATACTGTTCCATAACAGCTTTTAAAAATAAGCAGATGTTTCAGACTTTTATGGTAGTATTTCAGATTACTAGCCACACTGAACTGAATACCATTTTCAGAATGTTTTTATGCATCTCAAAAATTAAGCATCCCATCTCTGCAATTTCTTTTGAATTCTTTATAGAACATTTAATCATCAAATGCAGAGCTTTTTCACATAATCTTGAGCAAAAGTGCACAATATGCAAATCAACACAGCATTTGAACATCTTGCTATAAAAGTCAGGCGTGCAACTGGCTATTTTGTTGGGTTGACTTAAATTAGTTGGTGATGTACTTTGACCAGGTGCTTTATTACTGAAGAGTCTTTTAAATTGCAACAACCAGCAATCAACATAAACATTACAAACATTACTACATGGACAGGAGAGTGATAATTTAATTCAACCCAAAAGTAATCATTTGTTTTGTTTTATTCCTTTATGGGACATGAGTCACAACATTAAGGTGAGCATTACTCATTTCTAATTGCTCTTGGGAAGGTGGTTGTAAGGGCCTTCTTAAACTACTGCAGTTCATCCAGTGTAGATAAGCCCTCAGAGCTTTTAGGAAGACAGTTCCAGGATTGTGACTCTTTTGATATGGAGCCTTTAACACTGTTAAACATCCCAAGGAAGAGTTAGCAATCAGAATCTGACACTGAGCCATATAAAAACCTAACAGGACAAATGTGCAAAAGCTTATGCAAGAAGATAAGTTTTGAACATCTTTAAGGAGGTGAGGTTTAAGGAAAGAAATTCCATAGGTTAAAGCACAGACAGATGAAGAAAAGGCTTTCAACAGGTGTACTTAAAATCTGGGATACACAAGAGGTTCATTTACTTAATCTGTCGCTAAATGGGTTCAGCTTTCAAAGATGAACAGTTCAGAAATTATTTTCTTGTCCTGTTTAAGAGTACTGTAAACCTTTCCCACATGAAAGATATTTCCCCAGGCTTCGACTGAAGATAACTACTCTGCAGTTCATGACAACAGCTCAAAAGTGATTTTCCAGCTCGTCCCCACTGGATAATACTTGACCTCCAGTCTGCACAGCAGAAATCACTGTACACTGTGCAGAGCAGCAGCCTATGGACCTATTAGTTTCTGGTGTTTCACAGGAATATATGGCGTTCACTTCTATTCATACACAACAGAACTCGCCTCTCAGACAAAGCACAGAGTTTCATTCATTTAAAAATGTTCCACTCCAGCTCAGCTCTAGGAAATGCAGGTTGACAATTATTTTTATGGAACATATTTCACGGTTTTAACACATTAGAAGCAATGATTATGGTCAAGTTCAATCGTAAAGCACTAAATAAATTCTGTAATAGATGTATTGTTAGTTTATTGCTTTAAGCTAAATTTCACTATAATCAGTAAGGTAATTCACTTTAACATTACAGACCTTTTGTAGTGAAATTTTATTCTACCCACAGCATTTTATTCTTTTAAATTTTATTCTACAGGAAAATTTGCAATAGTGTGGCACAATGCCAGATTGCATTTATAAATTGTTCCGGTTGTTCCGTATCCCTATTATAAAACACATCCACAAAGGTTTGCTGTACCAGAAACCACACAGCAATTGTTTCTGAAATAATTTGCCTGTCATACAAGAACATGTCCAAAAGCACTTATTCAGATAGAGAATATATTTCTCCCTTCCCTGACAAACCTGTAGGCAGTCCGATAGCCTGTAATCTTGATTTTAAGAGTTTGCCCTTCTTGTATTTCGATCATTTGTGATGCAGGTTCAAAGCGAAATTCCTTCATCATAGGTTTGAAGTAATACTGACCAGGACTCTAAAGATCAACATAGAATACAATTACAATATGCAATTATTTAACATTTGAGTGAATAAACTAAAGAACAGCTGTACACCTTGGCATTTATGTCCAGCACTGATTAGGTTCCATCGTATACGAGCCAAAAGCTGTTACAAATTCATTTGTACAAGTACACGTAAAAGAGAATGGGTGGTAAAGTGCACTAGATGACTTTGTAAAAGAAAAAGAGCAATTCGATTTGTAAGATAATTATTTTCTCTCTTCTAGAATACTAGGCGAAATTAGTCCATATAGACTCAACTCAGCTCTTAATGAACTTCAAGGTCACAGCCAACCACAATTAGACTAGACAGTCAGACCGGCATTGTGTGAGAAGTGCTGAGGTGTACTGACGGACACTCCTCTGAGGCTAGAGAAGGCACACTGGAAATTGCATCAGCGTAATGGGAGCTTCACTGTGCACCTTATCCGTGCTGTATATGTTGTCAAACCTCCTGATGTTGATTCTGACAACACGAGTAAAACAATACACCATTTCCCACCTTCATCAAAATGTTTACACAAAATTTACATAACAATCTCCAACTATATTTAGAATTGAATAACTTCACTTTTTGACAAACTAAATTAAACATTACCAGGTTTGCAAAACTAAGCATGCCATTCTCTTGGGTTAGCAGATTGGAACGGAACTGTCCTCCACTAAGAGACAAAAGAACTCCGGCAAGGGGTTGATCATCTTCAGTTTTTATCTAGTTGTACAAAAATAAATTCTATTTGTATAATTTTAAAAGAGCATTAGAAATAAAATTCACAATTCCAGGAATGCTACTGACTTTACAGTAAGAGTTATAACCATATTACAATTAATCACGAACACAAGTCTTCAACTGATTAATCATATTAGTTCTGGAAGACACACTTCTTTGTTAAATAGGATAACAGAGTCAGTTGGCACTAATCCCCACATGGTCGTCAAATACAGTTTGTCAAAATTAAATACAAAGACAAACAAAATACCTTCACTTTATTTGGATCAGGATGTCCCAGGATGTGCTTCACAACCACAAATCATTTCAGGCTTTACAGTCCCTAAGCAGATACTTCTATTCAATAAAACTGGAGCATCACATGGCTTTAGTACTGATCCAAATAGTGTGTAAGAAAATACATTCCCTAGCTACATGGAGTACTTTAGAATTCAAACGTTTAAAAACTTATGCTAAGTGAGCTCCACTGCTAAACCTAATTCAAGTGATTTTAACTTGAGGTGAATCCTGGAAATTGTAAAATATATTTATGAAGAATGCTAGAAGGAAAATCAGGGCAGCATGGTGGCTCAGTGGTTAGCACTGCTGCCTCACACCACCAGGGACCCAGGTTCGATTCCACTCCCAGGCGACTGTCTGCATGGAGTTTGCATGTTCTCCCCGTGTCTGCATGGGTTTCCTGTGGATGCTCTGGTTTCTTCCCACAGTCTAAAGACGTGTAGGTTAGGTGGATTAGCCATGCTAAATTACCCATAGTGTCCAGTGATATGCAAGCTAGGTGGATTAGACATGGGAAATGCAGGGTTGTGGGGGTGGGGGTGGGCTGTTATTTGGAGGGACAATGTGGACACATTGGGCCAAGTGGCCTGCTTCTACATTGTAGGGATTCTATGATTCTTTGCAATACTGTAAATAACAAAAACTCAGTACTGCTAGAAAAAAAAGTGTTATTTACATGAAAGTCTGTACTAAGTTCCGTGCCACGTGACCCTGACTACCAAACTGCAATAACTAGATACAACAATGTAATTCTATCCTTTATATGGTTCACTTTATTAATAAAGCACTCAAATGATAAGTTTATATGCAGGAGAGTGCCTGCAATATTGGAATGGTGTATTGGTTTGTCATTTCAATTCAACACTCCTCTTCCTTTAATTTTGGCTATTTTTGGTACTACGGGATTGTCACATGTTTTAAACCTGATTACTTAATCTACGTATGGATTTTTCAATGTTAATCGCATTGCCTTTGTGAATGTGTTTATTTATAAGTACAACAACAGATGTGTTACTTAAACAAAAACAAAATAAATCAAAATGAATTCAGTGATGAATTAAAATGTATAATTTGTACACAGCACTTAATATTAAATTACCTCAAAAGTAACTCCTGCCAAAGCAAAAGCTTTAAAATCGCCAACTGTTCCCTTTAATGCAGTCAAAACAAAACCTTCCTTTTGGGCAGTCACAGAATACTCCTGGTCTCTGTGCAATGGTCCAACCCTTGTAAATAAAACAAAAAAAGATGGTTATACTACTTGTGTGAATTCCAATGGTTTAATAATGTACGCAGCTTGAGGAAACAGGAAAGAAACAGTGTTGTTTGAACACCACATAAACTAATTGGATTTTCAAAGCTTCAATCTGGGGGAGGTGGCTTGGTGGTATTACGGCTGGACTGTTAATCCAGAGACCCAGATAATGTTCTGGGGACCTGGGTTCAAACCCCACCACGGCAGATGGTGCAATTTGAAGTCTGGAATTAAGAATCTAATGATAACCATGAACCCACAGTCGAATGTCGGAAAAACCCATCTGATTCACTAATGTCCTTTAGGGAAGGAAACCGCCTTCCTTACCTGGTCTGGCCTACATGTGACTCCAGACCCACAGCAATATGGTTGACTCTGAACTGCCCTCTGGGCAATTAGGGATAGGCAATAAATGCTGCCTGGTCAGCAACGCTCTCATCCCGTGAATGAATGAAGCAAAAAAAAATTTCTTCATTAGTAAAATACTACTTAACACTTGCAGGTCTGACCAAGTAGAATTATGTTGTTTCAGATTTTGTAGCAAACAATGATTAAAACTAATGGCTACCACTTACAGTAGAATTTATTTACTGTTGATATAAAAGCATTACTGAATAAAACTCCCAGGGGTCTGATCTTTGATGCAATATTCCTCTTGTAAAGGTTATTTTTAATTTATGTTGATATAGTTCTTTTAGTATGTTCCTTTATGTACAATGAAGGAGCCTCCCCTGTGAGGCAACAAGCCATAAAATGATCATAAGACATACGAGCAGAAGCAACTCATTCAACCCAGTATGTCTGCCCTGCATTTCAATGAGATCATGGATGATCTGATAATCTTCAATCCACCCAGATTCCTGCCTTTTCCCATACTGATTAAAAATCCATTTCTCTCGTGAATATAATTAATGCCCCAGCCTCCTCAGTTTTAGAAAACCTACAGTGTGGAAGCAGGCCCAATGAGTCCGCACCAACCCTCTGAACAGCATCCCACCCAGACCCATCCCCCTGCTGTTTTCCCTGTGACCTTGCACTTCCCATGACTAACACACCTAATCTACACATCCCTGAACACTACAGGCAATTTCCCATGGACAATCTACCTAACTTGCACATCTTTGGACTGTGGGAGGAAACCCAAGCACCTGGAGGAAACCCACACAGACACGGGGAGAACGTGCAAACTCCACACAGACAGTCGCCCAAGGATGGAATCGAACCCGGGTCCCTGGCGCTGTGAGGCAGCAGTGCTAAGCACTGAGCCACTGTGCCCCACTTTACAAACCGTACATTACATTCTATGTTCTCAGGAAACTGAAGTTTAAGCATGATGAATCTGGGCTTGTTAGGACTACATCTAGGTCCCAAAACTCAGCACCGGTGAATCTGAAATGTCACCATTACCCCAACAGAAAATCCGGGCCTCCAGTTGCAGTAACCATAACAGAATAGGCACTTTCATAAGTTAAATACAATTTCATTTCCTCTTCCACTCACAATTGTATACTTTGTCTTAGACAGTAGGCATTTTTCTAAGCATTAGGCGGAGGCAAGTTTGAACAAAAATAAAAATATTAAACATTATTCTAGCCATAGATTCACACTGCCCCCTTGTGCTTCCACCTGGCATTTTCATCAGTCTCTTTCTAAAAAAAATCTGCTCCAGCAGCTTCCGGTTGAAAACAGTGCCCAACTTTTAGCTTTCTGTGTGTTTAAACTTTGTAAAATTTATTGGAAAATCTGTAACCCTTATCAGATAGGAACATTTATCTGCCAGTGCACAAGTCCAAATGTAAAGGAAATAACTTTGAGCTTCAGTGTCCACAGTATAAAATATACAATGATCAATTTCTGGGGTGCAAGGAACCAGAGCCAGAAATATGCACAGCATAATTTTCTTCACAAACTCAAATTCACAACATGAGGAGGAACCACATAATCTTCAATGCTAATGCACAGACTATGACACAGCACCAAATCTCTTTCACTTACCTGTATGACCCCTCCTCATTAGTGAATACAGTGATCAGTGGTGTTGAGGTTTTCTCAGTGATAATAATTTCAACACCCTCTAAGGCTGGGTGTATCCGTCCTTCCAGAAATAATCCAACTTTTCCCTGAATCTCTATTAGTCTTCCTGGACAACTATCTGTAGCTCAACACAAAAATAAAACAAAGAACTGCAGGTGCTGGAGATGTGAAATGCATTGCCTGAAGAACACTTTAAATGGGTTAACATTGATTGTGGAGTGGCTCTCTGTTGTGCAAAGGCTATTTCAAAGCAACTTAGCAATCAGCAAATGAAAATATTTACCCAGTTTGCACAAAAAAATTCTTTGACATTGACAGTTGGAACAGTGTGTAATTTTTGTTGAGAGAGCCAAGAATACAATTAGTTTTCTCATCTGGGTAATTAAATACTCTGCACATTGAATCAAAAGTTGCAAGATATTTTTAGAAGAGCCGGTAGCATTTAGGTCACCCTAATATTAAAGGAGCTTCATTTAAAATTCTGAGAATTAATCATGTCAAAATCAAGTACTACACACAGATTGAAATTATATGAAACAGTAAACACAATTAGTCAGGTCAAAATGATTACACTAACAACATGAACTGAACATACCCAGAATCTATCAAATATCTTTCTAGATTTCATCCTGAAATGTTTCTACTTAATTGCTCCAATATATATGCAGTGTACAAATCTCAGTACAATATAGAAGATGATTACAACAGCTAATGATTAATACATGATTTACTTCTATGCCAGTAATAAAACAGAATTTTTAACTGCCTAAATCGGATGAATAAAACTGTCACAGACACAACCTCCACAAACAAGGCTCCTCATCAAAAAGGTTGAGAGACTCATTACCAAATGCAAATCTGATACGTAAAACTACTACCTTTTTAGACAAGACTAAAAGTTTACTTTTTCTTCACAAATGTAACCAATGTTGTCCAGTCCCAGTTCAAAGATGTACCAATGCTCCCAACATATCAAAGAGTTGTTTCAGCGCAGGAGGCCATTCAGTCCATCATGTCTGCAGTAGCTCATCAAATGAGCTTTCACTTCATGCCATTCTCCTGCCTCCTTCTTGTAATCCTGCTTATCATTCCCTGTTAACTAACAGTCTAATTCCCTTTGAAAGCCTCAAGTGAACTTGCCAAAACCAAACACTCAGGCATTCCAGATCCCAACCACAAACTGCGTGAAAAAATTTTTCATCATATCACTGTTCATTCTTTGACTAACTACTTTAAAATCTGTGTCCTCTTGTTTCACGTTTCATCATTTTATGTTTGGGAACATTCTTTCCCCCTTTTCTCTGGCCAGACCTCTCATAATCTTGAATGTTTCAACCAGATCTTTCAGCTTTGTGTTCTCCGAGAAACAGTCCCAGTTCTCCATCTATTTTCATATTGGAAATTCTTCACCCTGGAACCATTCGCATAAATGTCTCCTGCATTTGCTCCAATGCCTTCATATCCTTCCTAAAAGGCCGCATCAGAAATGGATGTAATACTCGAGCTGAGGCTGAACTAACATCTTATACAAGTTCAGGATCAACTCCTTGCCTTTCTACTCTGCTAAACCCAATTAAGCAAAGCCCAGAAAACTTCATGCTTTGTTAACTGTTCTCTCAACCTGACCTGCCACCTTTAATGAATTATGCACATATACACTCAGGTCTCTCTGCTCCTGCCCCCTATGCTTTATACTGCATTTCCACGTTCTTCCTTCCAGAATGTATCGCCTCACACTTCTCCATATTGAACTTCATCTGCCACCTGTCCACCCACTCCACCAACTTGTCTATGCCCTCTAGAAGTTCCACACTATTATTCACTATCTACAACAATCATTCTCACAGATTACAATGTTTCCATGTTCTTTTACTGTCCTTGAATTTTGGAATTATGCCTTGCACACCACAGTCTGGACCATTAACGTTCGTCAGTGTTCCAGCACGGATCCCTGGGGAGGCTCCATTACAAATCTGCGCCCCAGACTGAAAAAACAGCCATTAGCCATTATACTCTGTTTCCCATCACTCAGTCAACTTTGCATCCTTGATGTTACTGCTCTTTTTATTCCATGAGCTTTAATTTCTCACAAGTCTGTTGTGTAGCCCTGTATCAAATGCCTTTTGGAAGTCCGTGTACATCAAACCAACAACATTGCCTTCAACAATCCTTTCTGTTATTTCTTCAAAAACCTCCAGCAAGTTGTTCAATATGATTTACCTTTAAGAAATCCATGCTGACTCTCTTTAACCTGAGTTTGTCCACATCACTATTAATTTTGTCACAAATTAATACTTCCAGAGGTTTCCATCCCACAGATGTTAAACTTACTGGTCTAAAATGGCTTGATTTATCCTTACACTTTTCTTTTGAACAAGGACATAACGTCTGCAATTCTCCAGCCCTCTGGCACCAGCTGTGAGTTTAAGCAAAACTGAACTATAAAAGCCAGAGCCTCTTCAATTTCTAATATTACTTCCCTCAGTATCCTTGGACACATCTTATCTGAATTTATGCTTTCTCAACTTTAGTACAGCTGCCCAATCCAATACCTTTGCATCAATTTTAAACCCTTCTAGTGACCCAACTCCTCCTTTCACCACATCCTGGGTACATTCTTTTTCAGATGCTTAAAAATGCAAAACTAGTACAAGACAAGGGGACTGGGTTTTAATTTAATACAAACCTTAACTTTCCAATTAGTTATTTCTCAGCCTTTCATCACTGCCTTGAGTCAGGCTCCTTCTTGTTCCATCAGCACTGAACCTTTTCCCTTTTTAGAACTTCATTCATCTTGAATTTTGTCTTGAATATTACATAGGCCATTTTCAAAATAACATTACAAATGATGAAACATTTTCTAAAAGGTGCATCAGATGAAGTAAATCAGTGTGTCAAAACTAATTCAAGAGTCATTTCCAGTCCATGCACCTTGGCAATTCAACCTGCATGTTCAAGGCATCTAAACTACTTACTGAACTGGACCTGCCACATGAATACTGTGGCTAAAACAGTAGGTCAGAGGCTAGGAATACTGCAGCAAATAACTCACCAAAACCTGCCCACCTTCTACAGCGCACAAGTCAGGAGTGTGAAGGGACACTCCCCACTTGCCTGGATGGGTGCAGCTCCAACAACACTCAAAAGCTTAACACCATTCAGGACTACTTGATTAGCACCACATCCACAAACATCCACTCTTTTTACTACTGACACTCAGAATCAGTAGCATGTACCATCTACTAAAGGCATTGTAGAAATTCACTAAAGCTCCTTAGACAGCACCTTCCAAACCCACAACCTCTACAAAGGCAAGGGCAGCAGATACATGGGAACACCACCCACTGCGAGTTCTCCTCTAAGCCACTCACCATCCTGACTTGGAAATATGTCACTGTTGCTGGGTCAAAATCCTGGATTCCCTCCTCCATAAAAATAGTATGGGTGGGTCACAGACTATCATATTCATGTTAACGCAGGAACCTAATAATTTGAATGCTTTTCATAATTAACATAAGCATTCAAAATTATTCAGTGAATTAAGTGAGTGTAAAACAGTCAAAACTTCTCTATCTTTTAATCTGTAATGTTAAAGCTTCAAACAATGTAAAAGGTTACCCCCAGTAATGACAGCCTCCACTGATGGAGGGTAGAAGAGAAGCTCCTTTGATGAGGGTGTGACTGTAATCTTTTCTCCAGCTCTACCAAAGAAAGCAAAAGAGATTTACAATCAGTAGTGGTATCAATACGGCCACCCATCTACTATGAAAACTTGATGTGACTCTGTGCTGTAAAACTAAATAGCCATACAGACGAAAAGAGAGAAATTATTTTTACAAAATACAAACACTGCAGTGGAAGCAAAATGTGTATCAGATTTTCAAATGTAAAAGCTAAACATGATCAAATTACAAATCTAACTTCCAAATGTGGCTTAAATGTATTTCAAGCCAGGCTGTTCAGGAGGATTAATGTACAACGATAGGGGAATAGTCCAAAAATAAACCCCTGATATGTGAAACAGAAATGAGTGGAGAGCAAATGTCAAGATAAATGCAGAAATGTAACTTCCATTTAGTGCACTTTTGTCGTAATGTTATGGCAAAATGGTCTATAAAATCAGACCTTTATGCAGTTTTCTTAGCACTGAGAGACTAATCAGAATGGCAGTCTCCTTTTCAACCACATAGATTTTATCAAACATATAACAATTGGCAACCTGTAAATTTGCTGCACAAGACTATCACAAAAGCACAGAGCAGGATTAGGAATCAAGAGGGTGACAAGAAAATTGACCATGAAATTTGGTGAATGTGTGGCAGAACGCTTCAAGGCTGCTGCAGCAAGTAAGCCTTTGGTCACAAGGAGAGCATTTATAGACTGTTGACGTTATGAACGCACTTGTTTTGAAGGTAATCCAGAAGGAAAAAATGGTCAATTTTCCAATTCTGAAGGAACTACAAAAATACCTCTTCCTTCTCAGAGCTGAGACTGCTCCTTACAGGTACCCTCCTAGAGCTGAGACTAATGAATGGGAGACATTTTAAAAATTTTGTTACAACCTAATCAGATATTTAACTTAATAAATTAACAAAATTATGCTCATGAATCACACGACAAGCTTCATCAATATTAGTGAAAACTAAAATATTAATATTGAAAACAATACATAGGAACAAGAGTAGGTCATTCAGCCCCTTGAGCCTGTTCCATCACTCATGAGATCATGGCTGATCTGTGGTCTAACTGCAGATACCCACATTTGGCAGTCCAAATCCCTTAATACCTTTGTTAAACAAAACTTTATCTAAGTCAGATTTAAAATTAAAAACTGACCCAGCATCCACTGCCATTTGTGGAAGAGATTCCAAACACCTACCACCGTCCATGTTGTAAGTACTATAAAAATAATTATTGGGTCTCTGTAAACAGCTTTTCTAAAAGTGAAAGCGATCAGGTGACTTTCTTTACCAGTTTGACAATTAAATCTCTTTCTTAGCACTTTAAATAGCTGTATGGCTATGAGTCATTCTAAGATAGTTACCTTTTAAATGGTCTCCTCTAATTCAAGGTAAAATGGAGTAGTGGAGAGGGGCATGTGACTGACTAGCTCTGTCTACTGACTGGCCAATGGAAGCAGGAAGTCAAATCAAGTCCCTTTGAAAAGCTTTCACACATGGATGCACACAGCAAATCAGGTCAAGTCCTATTGAAACTTGACTGGAAAAGGTTTCACACATGGACATACAGGGTAAAGCAGCAGGGTTTGCTACAGACTCAGAAGCCCTCATAATCAGTCAGATTGATGCTGCTAACCCAGGCAGAAGAAAGGGCTGCTGGATTGACTAACCGAACCCAAGTTTAAAGAAACAAGCATTGTGAAAAATTACAGGCCATGGAACCAGCAAAGGGGACTTTACAATGAGGAGTCTATTTGATTATGCTCAAAGGGTTGAGTGAAGAGGACATGGTTTAAAAGTACACTGGAAGATTCACCTGAGTGAAGCAGGGATAATCTAATGATATGTTGGGACAAGTTGGACATTCATTTTAAGACAACATGTCTCTGGAGAGTGTGGTGCAACATTAAACACAGAATGGGGTGATTCATGGTTTTTACTGGTTAGAGGGGAAATACCTGTTCTGTAGTTTATTATATTGACTGGTTATTAAGTAACGTTTAGTCAATGTTGATTTTAGTTTTTGTATTACAATACAAGTCTTAAAACATGTCATTTTGTCATGTGATCCAGAGGAGCTGGGGACTCTGTGTCTGTATTCGATGGAATTTAGAAGAATAAGAGGGACCTCATTGAAACCTACAAAATACAGGAGGCCTGAATAGAGTGGATGTGGAGATAATGTTTCCACTAGGGGAAGAGACTAGGACGCGAGAGTACACCTTACTGTGAAGGAATGACCCTTCGGAACTGAGAAGAGGAGATATTTCTTCAGCTGGAGGACGGTGAATCTGTGGAACTCATTGCCACAAAAGGCTGTGGAAGCCAAGTCACCGAGTGTAGTTAAGACAGAGATCGATAGGTTCTTGATTAATAAGGGGATCAAAGGGGAGAAGGCAGAAGAATGGGGCTGAGAAACACATCAGTCATGGTCGAATGGCAGAACAGACCCAATGGGTCAAATGGCCCGTTATGGGAATTCAAGTCTGTTTAAAACAGTTGGTCCACAGTAACACCAAATAACTTGCTTGCATATTTATGCTTCTTCGCCTCAACAATCATGGATTATTTAGCTTGTTCTAATAGGCATTAATTAGTGTTACCTTGCCCAGTATGAAAATTCATAAAGAAAAGGTCCTTCTAGCTCCTCCACAATTTCCTGGGCAGGAGGCTCTCTCTCCCCTTCCTTTTGGCCCTTCTTCTTGCGCTCTAGTCGACGTGCCTCAATTTCTGCCAGCTGCTGTTCCTGCCGCTGCTCCTGAACTGATTTCAGGGGTCCTAAAACTAAGGCTGGCTCACTATCTATAGAAGACCTAGGGAAGGGAAGAAGTAAGTACAACGAAATCAACACAAACATTAGCAATTATTTCAAATCCACACAGGGTACTCACTGAGTTGCAGCAGACAATAATTAAGCACCTTTCTAATTACATCTCTAATGGCTCTATAGCAAGTGGCATTTCAATACCTGAAGACTGCCGTACTCAACAGTACTTTACATTTAATCAGGAGCAAGTGTGCAGAGCCCTCCAGTCAAGTGAGTAGAGAGTTCCATCCCCTCTTCATCCATTTGACTCAACGATGCCACAGCATCTGGTCTTATCTTTAAGATATACTCTGCAGCATTCATACGCACAAGTCACAATTAGCCGGAGTTAAAAGGCCTGTCATCAGAACAAATGTTAATTCTAAGATGGTGTAGCAGCTTCTTTCATCTTCAGGTAGTGGGCCCAGCATCAGTGCTCGGAACTGGAACAGTTATCTAACATTAACAGGGATAAATTTGGTGCAAAGGGCATGAATAGCACAGAATTCTTAAAATGCATTCAGAAGAACTTTTATTAAAATCTGGTCAGGGACAGACTGGATAAGGAAGGGCAGTATGGATATGTTAAGAGAAGATTGCGTCTGACTAAATCAACTGATTTTCAGAGGAGGTAACAAGGAGCATTGATAAGGTCAGCACGTTTTATATAGTCTACACAGAATTTAACAAGACTTCCGACAGGATTCAACATGGCAGACTGACCAGAAAGTTAAAATCTAAAACCTCACGGGGCCCGAGGGAAAGTGGCCAGTTGGAACCAAAATTGGCTCAACAGCAAGAAATAAAAGGCAATGGCCAACAGGTATTTTTGAGACTGAAAGGCTGATTCTAATGGAATTCCTCAGGACTCAGTAAAGTGTCTCTTTTTTTTTGAAGTATTTAACAACAATTTAGACTTTCATGTAGTTTGCTGATGATTTGAAAATCGGCCATATGGTTAATACTAAGGAAGAAAGCTGCAAACTGAGACAAGATATCAATAGACCAGACAGGTGGGCAGAAATTTGTTTATTTCAATTCATCCATGGGATGAGGGCATCACTGGCCAGGCAGCATTTATTGGCCATTCCTAATTGCCCAGAGGGCAGTTAAGAGTCAACCACATTGCTGTGGGTCTGGAGTTACATGTAGTCCATAGCAGGTGAGGGTGGCAATTTCCTTCCCTAGAAGAACCAAATGGGATTTTCCGACAATTGGCAATGGATTCATTGTCATCATTAGCCTCTTAATTCCAAATTTTTATTGAATTCAAATTCTACCATTTTCCGTGGCAGAAATTGAACTCCGGTTTCCAGAACATTACAAGGGTCTTCTGGATTAACAGCCCAGCGATAATATTACCAGGCCATCACCTCCCCTAGCAATGTAGCAAATGGAATCCAATCCAGCGAAGTCTGTCATTCATTTGAGGAGGTTAAACAATACAACAGAATAGATACACAATAAAGGATAAGATTCTGGTTAAGGAGGTATACAGGGTCATTTACTTTACTGGCTAAGGCACAGAGTATAAGAGCGGAAGGATTATGCTAAAATGAATGCAACATTAGGAAGACCATAGCTGGAGTAGTCCACATTACACAAAGGACCTGATCACACCAGACTGGGTACAGAGGAGATTGATAAGGATGCTGCCAGGAATGAAGAATTTTAGCAATGAGGAAGGATTGGGATTATCTTCTTTGGAGAGTTGTGGGGTAATCTGATTGAGGTGAATAGAGTGATAAGGAACCTAGATAGAGAGGACATGAAGGAATTGCTCCTGTTAGCAGTAAGGTCAATAACAAGGGGCATTAGATTTAAAACAACAACTGGCTGAAAGGTCTGAGGGAAGTTGAGAAATGCTGTTTTTCACCCAAGCAAGGTGTTACTCTGAAACCCACACAAGGTGGAAAGTTAAACTTTCGTCTCATTTCCAAAGAAAATTTGGGCATACACTTGAGGCACAAAGATCCACAGGCCTGTAGAACGTGAAGATCTCGAAGGTGAAATGATGCTGGATAATCCTTTGTCAGACAGCATGACATTATAAATGAAATGGCCCCTGTTGTGCAGCAATTCTCTCTGTTTCAGGGATGCTCCTGGTTGAAATTAACATGTCAATGTTTGAACAATCAGGAGCATTACAATTGAAGATGAAGTCAGCTCCCTTCATCTATACTCACTCTAGTAACGAAACCGACACATTGTTGATCTTGGGGATAGGTCTCATCCCAGACCTTTTCAGTACGGCATGGGCGGACTATCCCTTTCTTAAGAAAAACGGAACTATTCAATACGTACTGGGAGCAGCCACAAACCTAAATGTAATACTGATCTGTCCGTGCATATCTGAAATGCTAATTTCCAATTCTAATAATGCAACACAGTCTGCATTTTGTTAAAAATATCCCACATGAAACTAAATGTGAGCATTCCTGCCAAGCCAAAGCTTTGTGCAGAGTACAAGTCCTGGCAGCCCTTTACCTGGTTTAATAGGATATCACAGCTCACATATGAGCAATGGAAATCATAATATTTTCCATCAGCAATTCTCTCCACAGTGGAAACAGTACAAAGGCTTATCGTTTCCAACAGGGCACAAAGTTGGCTTGATGGGTTGGCACTGGAATGGTGTAAAACCATGGGCTTCCAAGGTTTATAACACTGAAGCCTACAGCAAAACCTTCAAAGCATGATCAGGTTAGCTCCCTAAAATTATACCAAGTTCCTTTCATTATAGAAAATCCTTTTTTAATAAGATATTCAACTGTTAACCCTTGTATAATTAAGTTAATCATCACACCGATACACATAGATATAAACATATCTTAAACCGTTAACACACAACTTGTCTTTCCTCTTTCCTCGACCCCAATTAACCAGCTTTGCTTTTCCAGCATCTTGTAGTTTTATTCCTAAAAACCTACATTTTTAAAAAGAAGTTTCAACAATTCAGTTCTCAGTAAAACATTATGATATTTCTGACATTTCGCTGATAAAGCTCTGGATAATACATTTACAATGTAGACAAAGAAGAACTGCAGAATCTGGAGATCTGAAATAAATAGAAACAGAAATTGCTGAATAAACTCTGGCAGCATCAGTGGGGAGAAAACAGAGTTAACGTTTCAAGTTCAGTGACCTTTCCATCAGAACCATTCTTTGAAACACTGGACTCAAAACATTACTCCGTTTTTTTGGCACTCATTTACAATTCAGAATAGGTTCTATTAATTGCTTCAGATTTTTCTTGACCAATTTGAACATTTACTACCCATCCCAAAATCCGTTCGTGATGGTAGTTATGAACCTTCTCAAGCCAATGTAGTCCTTGCGATGAAGATACTGATACAATGCTGTTTGAATTTTGACTCAGCAGCAATGCAAATTCTCTGCTCCAACAACACAGCAAAAATGTCAAAATGCCAAATGCATACTAAAAGGTAAATGACTATTCCCCCTTTTCAGCCACTGTACTGACTATACACTATACATTTCTCCTCTAAAGTTTAACTTATTTTAATTACTCAGTGTTTATGTATAGTGTCAGCAGGCTCAGAGATCGAGAGTGCACACAGTAATGAGCCAGATATGAAAAAAAGACAGATAGAACAGGGACTGTTACACAATTAGCTGCAATACAAGGACGAAAACATGGACCCAATACTAAAATATCCTTTACATAAAAGTAAAGTATTGTTGATGCAGTAATTCTGAAATAAAGGTAGCAAATGCTGAAGAATCTCAGCAGGTCTGGCAGCATCAGTGGAGAGAGAAACAGTTAATATTTCAAGTCCAAGGACTCTCCTTCAGAACTCAAGCTAAAATATGTGTTATTACTTTCTCAAGATCATTTTTTAAGGCAATAGTAATAGTATCACATAACTTGACTATAGTTGTAATTGGTCACTCTTACCTGATAGTGACTGTTACATCCATCAATTTGTCTGTTACTATAGTACCAAGTGCACGGTGTCGAATCGCTGTTAAGGTTAGAATGGTGGGGGCCGCTCTAACAAACAAATAACAGGACGAAATTTGAGACCTAATGCAACAGCTCATTAATATAATGATGTTGTACAAGAAAGAAAAAGGCTTAAATGCTTACGTGTCATAGATGTAATGCTCATGTTCAAACTGATGACAAGAACGAGGAGTCACTTTATAGGCACCTGATGGAAGAAACAAGCACATTGAGTGATTTAAGCTGCTTGCTTTCTCCTCTTTAGGAAACGTGCATGTTTGACAATGAGTGGAAAATATATGCACTCAGCTGAACAAATCTGCATCTCAATTAATAAGTTGCAAATACAAAAAGGGCTTGCTCAGAACAAACAATAACCAAAAAAATGGGAAGAGAAGGATTTATAGCACATAGTTCAAACATAAAAGCAACAGGTTTTAATAGGACCAAGTAATCACTGGCATTTTGTTTTCATAAATTATCATGAGATTACAATTATTAAATTAAACATATTTCCCAAAACTTCAATGTCATGAGCTGATTCTTGCATTATAATACTCACTATGGACCATTAAACCTGTTTCCAAGAATGACTTTTATAAGTAATTTTCTGGTAAGGTGTACTAGTCTTTTCCACACACCATGTGTGGTTCCTCACTCATCTGCTCTAACAAAACAAGTAAATCTCCAACAATTATTTCTTTAGCATTGCTGAAAAAGACAAATTTTGTTGAAGATTTTCATCTTGAACTCATCACAACAATTTGCACGAGTACCAAAAAGGGGAAACCTAACATTTATATTGTTTGAAAGGATTGGTTGCCAAGTAGACTGCAACTGGTAGAGGTGTTGCCATGGAGAATGTAGCAATTAGTGATGATAGACAGTTAATTGCCAGGTTTGGTTCAATTTCACACTAGACAGGTTGATTCTGATTGGTCTGGTCATTCCCCTGAGAAACTAACCAGCAAGTCACCTACTTTGTTGAGTTAAAATAGACACTGTGTGAGCTCATGTTCTTTCTTTTGCAAAGAATGAAGCAATATGTATGTGGCACACTGCAGCCTGCCTGTCAATCCTAAAATGGTTGTTAGTATAATTCCTCAGAATTACTGCTCTTATCCTAAATGGCCAGCTCTGGAAATTTGCAAAAATTCATCCTTAGCTCCTTTGTACAATACTCTTCAATAAGCTAGTCCAAATGCATCAGCCTCCACATGTATAGAAAAGTTCTGAAGAAGGGTCACCGGACCTGAAACATTAATTCTTTTTTTCTTCATAGATGCTGCCAGACCTGCTGAGCTTTTCCAGCAACTTTGTTTTTGTTCCTGATTTACAGCATCCGCAGTTCTTTCAGTTTTTATAGAACTTTTGGTATTATGTTCAACTCAGCAATCTTAACTTTTTTCTGATTTATTAAGTTTAGTTTGCAACGTTTCTGTGCTGCAAATTATAGTGGTTCACTTTCATAATCTGATCTGTTCAACAATTGTGAAGGAACATAAATTTCTCCAATTGAACACAGGGAAAACTAAGGTTATTATCTGCAGCCCAAAGCCTCACTGTATATTTATGACTGGGCACAGCACTATTTTATACCCAACTGAACCTGTGTCCATAAACCCAGCATCCATTGCCAACACATTTCTGCATTATGTCAACTATCACTTTTACCTTACTTCCATTGATGCTGAAACCCTTTACAATGCCTTCATTTCCACTAGACTCTACTTTTATTCAATACTCTCTTTCCAATGTTTATGTTGCACTCCAATCATCCAATATTCTGAGAACTATGCCCTGATCCACGTTAAGTGCCATAGTCTCAGAAATCAGATGCTCTGTGATCTATTTTTGTTTTAAATAACTATCCGATGCACTGGTGTCCTGTATATTCACTTGCTTTGCCCCATGATTGGTGGTCAGCTTGTACTTTCTTTGGTTCCAGTATCTAATTAGAATCCCTTGCCATTCTACACTGCTTCCATCCATCTCATTAAGCAAAATTTAACCTCTCCTGTTGATCCTTGAAATTCTTCTTCCTCTGTGAAGTGCCTTGGACTATTTTTCTATGTAAAGCACACAATATCGATGCTCATTTTGTTCTAACAGTGTAAATTTTGGGCTATATGCAGCATTAAGGAGTCACAGAGGTCTGCAGCACAGAAAAAAGTCCTTCAGCCCATCAAGTCTGTGCTGGTAGAGTGGAAAGCCTTTGAAAGGCACTTAATTAGCTCTGAGCCAAGAACTAAACAAACAAACAAACAAAGTAAACCACTCAGATTTTGTACCTGGTTTAGAAAGACAAAATCTATTCACGCCTTTTGTAAGATTATATACACCAACATTTTCTGGGCCACTTCCATCCTGGTAAAATTCCTGAATGGTGACAGAAAGGAACATCTATTTTTAAATATACGATTGAAGACAATGTGATGTACTGCCTCTAATCCACACACGTTATAGCAAAGGCAAAATCAATCTAATGCAGTGCCTCAGAAGTGACATTCTCACATATTTAAAATCAGACATACTCCCAATGACTACCATTAAATATATACACTAGAGACTTATGAAACACCTCTCATTGCTTTGCTGTTCTTTCAAATTAATATATTTTAATGGAATGCAAAGGATGAGGAACATACCATAATTAATAAATTAACAATGAGGTACTAGTCTGGTGTTAATCTGCTTGTCTAAAATAAAACATTTGAGATTTTATTCAAGAAGTTAGGAATTAAACCAAAAACAGTGTCTTTGCAAACGTATTGAAGCAGTTTTGTAAAAACCTTCCTCAGAGGATAATGCAAATGATATTCTAAACAAAAAAGGAAATTCAACAGAAACTCATGAGAAAAGAAATAGAATGACTTACAAAGTGCTTGAAACTAGATGCTTATGTGTGTGTGTCCATACAGATGAGTGTTTCCTACTTTATTTTCAAAAATGGTTCACCAAATTACAGAATATAATGCAGGACAAAGTTAATTTAACACCTTGACAAATGCATGCTCATTTAAAAAATTGCCACAAGAATTTAATTTTGATATTGTAGCAAAAAAAAGTGTTCATGAGGGTAGTGCAGTTAATGTAGTCTGCAGGGACTTCCGAAAAGCTTTTAACAAACTTCCATATAATTGGATTTTTTTGCAAAGTTTGCATTCATGGAATTAAAAGAGACAGCAGTAGATTTAATACAAAGTGACAGGAAACAGATAGCAGTGAATAGCTGGAGGCAGAACAGAGAAGGCCTGTTCCTGTGCTGGACTGTTTTATGTCCTATGTTACTAGGCTGATAGCATGTACAGAGGGACTGTCTTATGAGGACAGGTTGAGTAAATTAGACTCGTAATCATTGGAAGATAGAAAAATGAGCAGTGACCTTTTTGAAACACACAAGATTCCTAGTGTACTTAACAGGCTAGGTGCAGAAAGGATGCTTCCCCTTCTGGGAGAGTGTAGGAATTCAGCACGCAATCTCAGAATAAGGGGTCACACTTTTAAGACAGAGATGAGGAGGAATTTCTTCTCTCAGAGGGTAGTGACTCTGTGAAAATCTTTACCACACAGGGTTGTAGAGATTGGGTCATTAAGTGCAGTCAAGGCTGAAAAAGACAGATTTTTTAATCAGTAAGGGAATGAAGGGCTAAGGGGAAAAGGCAAGAAAGTGGAGTTGAGGATTATCAGATCAGACATGATCTCGTTGAACGGCAGAGCAGCCTCGAGGGGCTGAATGACCTACTTTTGCTCCTATGCTTTACGATCAGTTGATTTTTAAATTGGCAGCGAGTAAACGGAGGGACTCCCCTGGGATCAGGGTTAAGACCCCTACTTTCCTAACATATTTTAATGGCCTAGACATTGCAGTACAGGGCACTATTTCACAATCTGTAGACAACGCAAAACTTGGAAGCATTGTGAACTATGGGCTGGATGGTGAAAGACTTCAAAAAGAAGTCAAAAAACTCAGGTGAAATTGGTGGACAACTGGCAGATGGAATTTAAGCAATGAAGTGCGAAGCAAGTAATTTTGATAGGAAGGACAAGAAGAAACATAAAATGCAGGATACTATTCTAAAGTAGGCGCAGGAGCAGAGGAACCTGGGTGTATTGATGGATAATTCATTGAAGCTGGTAGGACAGGCTGTTAAGATGGCATACAGGATCCTGAGCTTTATAAAGAGGGGCATACAGTGTAAAAACAAGGACTTTATCAAACTTGTACAAAACACTGGTGCAGCTTCAACTGGAAGACTGTCTCCAACTTTGGGCAACAGATTTTAGGGAGGACAGGAAGACATTAGAAAAGGTGCAAAAATGATTCACAAGAACAGTTCCAGAGATGAGGAACTTCAGCCAAATGGACGGAGAAACTGAGATTAGTCACTTTGAAAAATAGAAGATGAAGAGGAGATCTGATAAAGGTGTCCAAAATTATGAGCTCACTGGACAGAGTAGACAGGGAGCAATTGTTCCCATTACGACCGAGTTGCTCACTCGTGTCCTTATTTTGTATGTTTGTACCTATGTCCATATACTTGGAAAATCAAGAACCAGAGGATACTGATATAAAGGGATTGGCAAAATAAGTAATGGCCATATGAGTGTGGTTAGGATGTAGAATGCACTACCTGTAGGTGTGGAAGAGGCAGGGTCAATCTGGCCTTTTAAAAACTGTGGCTACAGTGGAAAAGACAGGAGATTGGCACCAAGCAATTGCCATTGCAGATGGCTAGTATGGACACAATGGGTCAAATGGCCCCTTCAACACAGTAACCATTCTGTAATTCCAAGATACATAAATACAATTGCTTTGTTTTTTCTACTGATTCACGAGCTTTGAGAATCATATGCGAGACTAGCATTTATTGCCCATTCCTAATTGCATTTGAGATCACAAACATAAGAGAATAGCCAAGAGTGAGCAACATCTATAAGCTGAATGGTACTCAGGGGGAACAGGACACATTCTACAATCATAATAATTAAAAAGATGGAATGTACATAATTATTATGCAAAAGTCTTTCATAAAAATAACAGCAGTTCTATTGTATAGGTATATAGCACGGAGGCAAGCCTTTCCCAAAAATGACCATCCTTTGCATTACATTTCTTACCAATGTGATTGCGTGTGAGAGTGAGCATCGGAGCATGTAACCTGTCTGTCTAAATTCTATCCCAGTCAAATCTTGATCCACAACCTCCAGCTCAAATGATCGATTTTTCCAGCACCATTCTTCATGGATAATGTTCACTATAAAAACCAACAACATTTTCAATCAGCTTCATTTGATTAAACCTGATGCTCATTAACATCCATAAAGAAATAATAGCATATCAAAAGAATGAAATTATTACCCTTGTATTTGCCAGGCAAAATATTATTAAAAGTGAATGATGCCGAGTCTGCACCTCCAGAGAGCTGCATGCTTTGTTTGTCACTATGACGACTCAAAGGTTGAAGGGTCACAGCAAGATCGTTGCAGGAATCTTAATAAAGAAAACAGTGAGAGGCCAGCTCATAAAAAAAATGACGAAAAGCATAAAACAAAACCTTGACACCCAATGCTGAAACCATTCAGCTAATCCATTTCAAAAGTGTAACTTTTTTTTCCTGGTCATTAACAGAAACATAGATTCAACACAAACGCAAAAATACTACAGCTTCCAAACTGCAACAACTAACACTGGAGTATATCTGAACAATCAAGACCTGGACACCAAGGACAACTGTAAGATTCTACACAAGTTCATCATCCGTCACTCTTCACCATGGACACTGAACAGTGATTCTGCTCACCACACCAATACAGCACTTTATAAATGTTTGACCACCTGCTGTAACGGAGAACTATAATAATGTTTTAAACATTTACAAAACCATGCATCACTTGTTTACACACAGAAATCCTTTAAGGAAAAACAAGTGAAACAAAGCTGTACGATTTAAGATAGAAATATGAAATTACAGCAACTCCCATTGCTTGTCAGGCTACTGTACAGTTCCATATGGTCAGTCTGCCCTTGTTTAGAATTTTACGCCATGTGGTTAAGTGGTAAAATTAGAGAATTTGTAAATATTTTCTAGATTTTAAAGCATTACATTTTCTCTGTTGTAGAGGGGTAGCAACGCATAGCTGTGATGTGGAGACAGAGAAAAATAAAAGCAACATTCCGAGCCAAATACAACTCTTCTTTGGATCTGACATAACAAGGTGTAGAGCTGGATGAACACAGCAGGTCAAGCAGCATCAGAGGAACAGGAAAGCTGACGTTTCAGGTCTAGACCCTTCTTCAGAAAGAAGGGTCTTTTCTGAAGAAGGGTCTAGGCCCGAAACGGCAGCTTTCCTGCTCCTCTGATGCTGCTTGGCCTGCTGTGTTCATCCAGCTCTACATCTTGTTATCTCAGATTCTCCAGCATCTGCAGTTCCTACTATCTCTTCTTTGGAACTGTTCTGCAGAATTTGAAGAATCACACTGAACCAAAACATCAACTTTGTTTCTCTTTCCACAGATGCTACCAGACCTGCTGTATTTTTCCAGCAGCTTGTTTACATTTCAGATTTGCAGCATCCAAAGTATTTTATTCTGTCAATGGTTCTGCATGGTTCACAGCTTTGTACCTATCCCTCTGCAATTCTTAAATTTGGGAATTTGATTTTAGTCTGTTAAACAATAAAGATACAAGAAAAACAAAGATGAAACCACTAAGATATACAAGGTGTAGAGCTGGATGAACACAGCAGGCCAAGCAGCATCACAGGAGCAGGAAGGCTGACGTTTTGGGCCTAGATGGCAGAAAGTGTTAGTGCTAGTGACTGGCATGATAAAGATTCATTATGCCCATGCCCTCACTTGCACTGAGTCTTGGTGGCCCCCTTTTATATCTCCTTGTGTGATGTGGTGTCAGGTTTTGCTTCGGCATATTTTATGTGTTTATATTTACATTTAACATCACAGTGTTGCAATTTAGTTTTGTTTAGTACTTCTTGGCTAAAGTTGTCAAACCTAAACAAAAATTCCCACTTCAATTTGTTGTTGTTTTCCAGGTAATGAAGATGATGTCAATCAACATCAGAACAACACCCACCACGTAAAGTTATCACAAGGTAATCTCAATAAGTAAACACATATAGCACCCAATTAGTACCAAGGTTAAGTGTTTTCTAGTGAACTTGTTCAGAGATGTTACATGTCTCTGGAGCAGGTGGGATTTGAATCTGGGTCACCTGGCTCAGAGGCAGGGACACTACCACTGCACTCCTTGGTACCAGGCTAAATGAATTAGGTTCTCCTCATTACCAAGTGTGATTGAACAGTTTTCTGAGATGGCAGCATCTATGTTTAGGAAAAACATTAATTTTATCATAAGTTAACTTAAGAGAACAACACATCAATTTAAGAAAACAGCAATCAGCATTCTCCCACAGTTTGAGATAACAAGGTATAGAGCTGGATGAACACAGCAGGCCAAGCAGCATCAGAGGAGCAGGAAAGCTGACGTTTTGGGC